AGAGGAATCAAACCAAGCACCGAAATGAATTTGTTCATTGACGGAGAGATTGACTAATTTGGCAACAGCCTTGTCTCCCATTTAATGGGACCATCAGTCTAAAGTCCATGTTGCTCAGCAATGACTAAATGTGGCTACTGTCTCATTACTGTCTGAAACGAGATACCAGGAGAGAAAGAGAAATGCTCCAGTCCCCTGGGCTTGGACTTTAGGCTATTCAGTTGTTTAAAACTTGGTTTAGGGAGGGAAGTGGAATTGCGGAAGTAGAAAACCAGGGGACTGGATGTAAGATATTGTGGCGTTTCTCAGCATTTCCCGAAATGCCATTCCCGACCTGACTCCCAGCTGCCTCGGCAGCCTAGTGATCCATGGCTCTCCCATGCACCCTCTAGGTTCAGCCAAGGCAGCTACCCAGGAAATGCCATCTCCTTTCTGGACCTTTGCACAAGCTGTTCCCTCATCTCTGGCAAGTATTCCCTCCTCACCTCTGCATCTTAGAATCCACCATGAAGCTTTCTGTTCCCTCCCAAATGACCTTGCATTTATTTTGGAATTTACTTACGTAGGTGTGCATGGTTTCTTTGGGTAGACTGGAAGCTCCTTGAGGGTAAAGAGTGTTTTGGGGTTTTTTTGTTTTTGATTTTCTATCCTAAGGGCCTAGCACAGTGGCTGGAACACAGTAGGTGCCTAATGTTTGTTGATTGATTGGTATGCATCACCTGAATAGAAAAGCTACTTGAGATTTCTATGTTCACCCAGTCTGTAAGATCAGAGGCAGGGATGGCATTAAATCAAGAGGAAGCATCTTGTATGGGTAAGACTCCAGCTGCCTGGAGAACAATGGGGCCACCACAGTCCATCTGTGAATGGTTCTTCAGTGACCCGATGTATCTGACCAGCCGTCAAGTCAACTGAGCACCTACTACACGCAGAGGATTAGCTGGCTGCTTGGTCTGTCTGTTTTCTAGAAAATTAACACTGTAATCTGACCTCAGAGCTACAGTTAGATGGGACCTCAGATGGCATAGTGGAGAGAACCCTAGACTGGGAGTCGGAGAGTCCTGGGTTCAAATCCACTCTCAGACACTTGTTATTGCCTGTAGGACCCTGGGCAAGTTGCTTAACTTCAGTTTTCTCATCCGTAAAATGCCTCCCAGAGTTGTTGTGAGGATAAAATGAGATATTTTTAAAGCACTATATAAATGTTAGAGGATATTATTATCGTCTATCTCAGAGTTTGGTTTGTATGTGTGTAAGTGTGTGTTGTTAGTAAGTCAACAAGCACTTATTAAGTGCCTTCTGTGTACCAAGAACTGTGCTAAGCACTGAGGATAAAAATATGAACAAAAAGACAGTCCGTTCCATCAAGCAACTTATAATCTAATGGGGGAAGAAAATGGACAAAAGGGAGTTGAAAAGAAGGAGGAAGGGGAAAGGTGCCTGTGCCAGATATGACAGCCAAGCTCAGAGTGTCTGAGGCAAAGCTTCTGGCCTGGACCCTCCCTCAAGATGGGCAATCCCCAGGTTCTGGGGGAGCTCACCAAAGGGAGAAGGGGGCTGAGGGCAGGGAGGAGGGGAAGGCTGCATGGGGAAAAAAGGAACTCACAGGGAGAGAGGGCGGCTGAGGCAAAGGGCCGAAGTCTAGGGAGTCAGAAGCAAAGCTGGGAACGGAGCAGGTCAGTCAGTCAGGGAAGCCTGGGGACCACTTCTCAACATGTCCTCAGATGAATAAAACAAAATACATCCGATATCAGAAAAAACCAATTATCTGGAAATACAGTTATCATAATTTAAACCAAATTCACGGACTCCAAGTTAAGAACCTCTGATCTAGTTCACTTGGCCTAACTCACAGATGAGGAAACTGAGCCCAATCTAGGTCACACAGGAATTAAGTGACTAAGCTAAGATCCAAACCCAGTTGTCTGACCCTGAAGCCTGCATGGCACTCATCATGTGGGCCAGGCAGGCTGGTGGTGGAAAGCTCGCTGAATGACACGAGGTTCTCTCCATGCACTCCTTTCAGAACAGGGTAGACAGGAAGAGGAATATCTTATTTGTTGGGATTCCTTTTCTTCTGGAGCAGTCATCTTTCCGGTGAACATTCATTCCATTTATTATCTTTTTCTGTCCTCTGAAAGTACCTGTGGGGCAATTTACCCACCAAAGGGGTGAATTGCAGCTCAAGCTACGAAACGGGGAGGGGGATCCGTTTATGCACATGGATCACAGCAGTTACATTTTCCTCTTGCACACCTAAGGCCAATAAAGAGAAGACAGACAAGTGCAGTTCTCTAGCTGGAACCGAATGATGAACAATAAAAAGCAGTGATAACGATGAGGAGAGAATCTGGAGGAATCGCTTTTCTGGGCCCCACTGGATGTCACCAAACGGCCACCAACATCCTGGGAAGCTAGGTCTGACCCACACCTCTGACTACGAAGGCCCTGGGGAATGAGTTCAGTAATTCCCCTAAACACAACACTGCACACTTTTAGAGTGAGTGCCCTGGAGCCTCGAAGCTCTCACAGAATTCACAGAATCCAAATTTCCAAAGAATCGTCCATTTTTAACCCCCCCCGCCCCCCCAATGAAAATCCAATCTAAACCAAGGAGAAGGAGTATGTAACAAAAAACAAATACACATCGGATTGTAGTTGGATTTGGTCACTGTGGGCTCCCTCACCGCCAAAGCTTCGTTCCCTGTCCAGTGAAGAAGACAGTCTTGGGCTCAGGAATCAGAAAGGGTCCTTTAGCTGTCATGGATCAGATACAATAGATAGATGCTGGGCTGGCCTTGTGAGCCCATACAGCCCAGAGAGCAGGAGTGGGCACAGATGTCAGAGGCTGCCCGTGCTTTCTCTGTCGTCTTTGAAGACAAGACTCAATGAGGAATTTTTTAGTGGAAAAGCAGAACTACTCTGAGGAGCTCAACGGCTGTTTGGATATTTTTCTTTCTCCCCTCCTATTCTGGTCCTACCTAACACTCAAATCAATTCCATTTATTACTGTCTTGGGTAAGGAGCCAAAATCTTTAAAAAAATGCTATTTTCAAGAGTTGAAAAGTGTTGATTTTGGACATTCAGGGGAAAAGGTAGAAAACTGATGACTACAATCTGTGAACTAGTTTTAAAAATTATTTCAGTAACAGTATTTCAATATAATTGGTTTCCACTGTAATAATCTATTTTACTGAATGCATTTAAAAACCTGATTCTGAGAAGGGGTACCTGGGCTTCACCAGACCGATCACCAAAGAGGACCATGGCACACCAAAAGGAAGCGTTCCTGTCCTGGAGATAGGGATCCTGTCTGCCCTTTCTGTAAGCCATTCAAGTCTCAAGTTCGGGGAGCCCAACATCAGTGAAAAAGTGTTTTCTGAGTGCGTGCTGCATATTTCCAGTCATGCACGGTCTCATTCTCTTAGTTAATGAGCTAAGATTAGCCAATCCTGTTAGCCAAAAAGAAATTATAGCAATAATCAACCACCACCCGAGCTTCCATGTTCATGTCAGTTGGGATAAACACTCCAGATCCAACCCTTTGAGGGGTTTACAGAAACTTTGCAGGGGCAGATCACCTCTGAAAGGATGGTCAAGCAGAGGGGGCCCAGACATTGCTGGTTTCCCCTCCTGTGGGTCAAAGGCTTAAGTTAGACACCAAGGGCAGTTTAAAAACCCAGGACGCTATTTTAGGAATATGCTCCACTTATGTTTGTCTCTTACTAGGGCACAGAACTCAGGACTCTGCTGAGCTGGACAAATGACTTCCACTATTGTTTGGGTGTCCTGTATATCTGTGCAAAGCTGTGGGTTTTCAAAGGCTCGATGAAGCTTGAATGCCCCTAATATTTGTGACCCCACAGACTGTCTCCTCTGAGTTTGTTTGAGCGAGGGAGCAGTGACCAGAAAGTACTTTTCTGTGAGGGGGGCACTGGAAAAATCCGACAGCTCCAGGTCTCCTCAAGCCCTGGGCAGGCTCCCTTGGCACAGCTCAGCCCCGGGGGCCATTTTGGTGGTCACCTCGACATTCTTACAACTGTTCACCTTCGGGTCCAAACGTCCCTCTCTTTGCTGCTCTGGTGAACACAACCCCGAACTTCAGGGGGCTACACGATGAGCTCAAAGACCCTCCTGAGATGATACAGGCCGCATGGTCATTATACAAATGAGACTGAGGCCGAGGAAGCTGCAGACTTCCTTGTTGAAGGACACAGAGCCAGCTGGCGGCAAGGCTGGGTTAGCACTTGGGAGCTCCTGACGCCGTAGAAGTCAGTCGGTCCACAAGCATTTATTAAGCACTTACTACATCCCAGACACTGCCGTGACTGATTGACGGTCTATTGCTCTTTTCACTGTGGAAGGACTCTAACCGATTTTTTTTTTCCCAAAAAGGAAAAACTGTAACAGCAACAGGAGAGCCACAAGTCCCACAGGAAGCACCTACCTGACCCTGCACCGGGGTCAGTCTCGGCCTGGAATGCTGTCCTCGTAAGGGTTGGGGGAGGTTGAGTCCTCACAGCAATAGCATAGGCCCAGACCGGAGCGATGACCCAGAGAGGGGTGGAACATGAGAGACTTCTGATGCTTTCTAGGATTATCTGTAATTACAACGAGCTAATACCAAATCTACCGCCGTCCGCCCAAGGCAAGCAAAATGATCGATTTTGTACGCCTGAGGAGCACGGGGCCAACCAAGACTTTTCCACCAGAGAAAACGTTCCATGTACAAAAGTAGCAACTAGAGCGTAGAGTGAGCTGTGCTTAAGTCTCGGTCCCTCAGCAATAACAGACATTTGTATTATCCTTACTATTCTGAATAAATTCCGATGACAGCCCTATTTCATTTCTTCATTCAGTTCGGAGGCCAGATGGCATTAGAATCATTCACTGCACCTTGTTGTGCTTAATTACTACAATCAACACACTATTTTCCAAATTAATCATAACAAAGTAATTTCATTAGTAACACAGCAGGCTGTTGAATTATTAGCATCATAACAGTTTGCAAACAATTAAACTTTATTTGAACCTTAAAAATTTGCAGAGTGGAACATTATTGTAAGATCTAATGGCAACAGCGTACAAATTCAGTGCAGAGCAAATAATCAAGCAAAATGCTATATAAAATATGACTTACAATCACCTTTGAAAAAAATTGGTTCTCTAAATGTTCATAGAAAAACAAATAAAAGTGAAGCAAACATAACGAGACATGGCAATTAGCATATTTTCTAATCCACGTTGCTTAAAATCACATTAATGATATTATGTTGGACTTGGGTGCGTGATATTGTCAAGGGTGTCAAGGAAACTTTTTCCTAGGACTTACAAATGATTTCATCAAGTACACATACATTGCTTAGACCTAAGCATGTAACGAAAGGGGCATCGTGACCATGATTCTTTCTGTAAATAGTGGCATCACCGTTCTTCACCCTTCCCCAAAGATCCCCAGGAAAAAGGCAATGGCCGCTGGAGCCCTTCGCGCCACCATTAATGGGAGGATGTCTGGACAGACATTGTTATTCATCGGTTGGCAAAGGACTCCCTCTCCTGGATTAACAGTAAAAGAAAAAAAAAAAAGAGGAAGGAAATCTCCAAATGTTTGAAATTAGAGATGACTGTAGCCCAGGTGGGGGAAGGGTTTCAAAATGGTTCCCCATGTGATGAAAATCTGCTGCCATCTACTGGCCCAATGTGGCAATGCGGAAAGCTTCCCAGAACCCAAACCCACCAGCCTCCCTCTGCATTGGTATTTCTCTCTTTTTAGCAACTTAACTTGGAAAATCAAGTTTGCTTTGCCTCGTGACATGGGAAGTTTCTCTCCAGGCCAAGGTCACCTAATTTTGTTAATTTGGTTTAGATGCTCAAATGTATCTGACTTTTTTTTTTTTAAGACTAAGATGTCAATTTTTTCTAAATTATAGTGGAAGGGCTATTTAATCTTTGTTATTTTTTGTGTGTGAAATTAATGAAAGAGTTTGATCACTGACACGAGTTTGCCAATTTCACGGTGATGAGAGGATGAAGATGAAATACTCCCAGCAGTTTCGATATTGCCAAATCCTGTCATTTTTGTAAATATTTTTGTATTGTTTAAAAAGGGAGAAGGCAGGGGAAAGGCTGCTTTAAGTCCACAACTCCCTGGGAGTACAGGAATGAAAGCCCAGGGAGGTGGTGTCTAACTTAAAGATTCGCTGGTAAGACTCTTCCAACCCCATCAGAATTCAGGGGCATTTAAAACCCCTATCTCCAAAGGAGGGCAGCAGGCCATCACTCCCCCACCACCACAGATTTACCTGCTGGTGAATGAATGTTCCAGAAGTTTTCACTTCTTTTCTCACTGATAAAGTGGGGGGACTGGATTAGGTGATACCAGAGGCTCTGTCCAGCTCCAAACAACTCTGCCTTTCATCATCTAGCAATGAGCTCCCAGGCTAAGTTTAAAATGACCCACTTCTTTCTTTCCCATGATGGCAGTGGGAGCCCTTCTAGTAAATGGGGTGGAGCACATTCAATAATGATGCGGCCCCAATGTCTATGCAAATAACCCAAATGGTTTTTAATGACAAAGGGCTTTGGGTTTTCACCCAACAACACATCTCATAGAAGCTGACGGGACGTTGTGCTTTTCCATTCCAGTATTTTTCCTTCTTGTGGTCACATTTAATATGATGTAAATTTGCCAATAAGGCATAAATTCTTTCATGATAAAAGGTCAATACTACGTGAAATACCAAAATAAATCACCGCCAGTGCTTTAACACATTCTCTGCATGCAGAGGGCCTGCTTTAAAACTTGCCTCATTAAGATATATTAAATGGAAATGTCGGTGAAATTAGACATCGCGGCCACAAAACTTCACTTCTTCTGAGTAATGGGCATTACAAGACCCCTGATAAGAACGGTCATTTGACTTTTGAGAAACAGTGCTGGGTTCTTCCAGAAAGCCAAATGACTGGATTCACACAAAGCAGCTGAATAAATGAAAAGTACGATTGCTTCTCACGCAAAACAGCAACAAGTCTAATCACTTTGTGGCTTGTACCAGATTGCTATGCATAACTTTCCTTTAATTTATGATCATTAAAACATTGTAAAGGAGCATTGTATAAAATTACAGGCAAGGATGAATGGAAAGGGGAGAGTGATGACTTTCTGCAACATGAAGAAAGAAGAGAAGTCATCACTCGATGCTTGGGTGATCTCGCCAAATCCACGGCGTCTCTCAGGCTCAAACGAAAACTCAAGCTCCAACTTCTTTCTTGACTTTTAAATGTTAGGATTCGCTGATCAGAAAAAAGGCATATGTTTAGATGTGATTTTGCAGCTCATCGACATGGCTACGAGCAGGATTTTTACAAAGAAGAGGTAGGTGAGACAAGTGGCTAGCTACTTCCAAGAGAAATTTCACAAAGCTTTTTTTATTTAAACATTTTTTTCCAAGGGTGGGAAGAAAACAATCTTTGACAGACCTACTACAACAATTTCAAAAAAGGGAAAGATGTTAAAAAAACCAACCCAGAACAAGAGAACATATGAACCATTACAGAAGATTGGATTAAAATGTACTTACCCAGGACTCTCAAATATCATACATCTCCATTATGTAGGCTTTAGGCACCAAGCCAATGGTTCCCTTCATTTCTCCTACCCACCAGCCAAATCTATTGTAGTCCTAATTGAAAACAATGTGCAATATTAACCTTTAGTCAGAGATAAATGCAATCCAGTTGGTATGCAACTTCTTACAAACATTTTCTTCCTTTATAAAGTTAGGACTTGAACTGAAAATTGAAACATTATAATCTTTTTGTTTCTGGGCATTTTCAAAAATGCTGTCAGGCAAAGATTTAAATGAACTTAGAAGACAATGCACGTTTATTACTCAGTGTGGAAAAAAAGAAATGGTTGTAAACGGCAACATGAACCCCACCCGCCACCACATCAGGGACTACCTCTTTCTTCTGGCTTTTCTCCAACGCTTAAATTCCAATTTTATGGGATTCTTAAAGAACTGTGAAAGAACAACTTAATCTGAGATCCTCAACCCCGAGGTGTAATCACAGTATGTGAAAGAGGTTGAAACACACAGGTGGGGGCCACTTTATCTGGGCCTTTTCATTCCATGGAAGTGTAAGGTCAGATAAGGGGAGAGAGATTATTTATGTAGTCACAGCAGTCTTGGCTTCACCAAAAACAAAAACAGAAAACCAGACAGACTCCCCCCAAAAGCATAAAACCCCACATGAGTCAGGGGCAGAAGGGGTTGCAGCCCATGTATAATTAGTGTGGTTGATGAAGCATGAACTACTCAAGAAAAGAAATGTAGAAGTGAAGTTTGAAGAACTGTTGCCACTGTAAGGCCAGAAAAAACAAAAGTATCTCTAATAATCATAATGGGAAAATAGGTTCTATTAAAAAAATGGATTCCCATGAAAAGTCTCAGAAACCCATCAAGTGTGCTGGGTGAGGTAAGCCTGTCCCCAGCCCCTCCCCCAGGGCAGCGCCTCTGATGCATGGAGGGATGGATTCTTAGTTGAAATTTATTTAATTTTAGTGAGACACATAGAAAATAAAATGAATTACAAGTTTCAAGAAATATATCTTCCAGAAGCAATGCTCTTGCAAGAGCATTAAGGGATCTCAACTTAATTCTTTTCTATAAGATAAGTATTTTAAAATCAATGCCAACAGCAATTCAATTGATTATGACTGTCCCAACTTCCCAGATTCACGGACAAATATGTACATATACTGCTTAAGTGAGGGAGGGGGACAAAAGCAATTCAGAGATTAAATTTGCAGTGGGCTGATTATTAAACCGATACGCATTAAGGGAAAACCGATCTAACCGCCACAATTTGAGCATGTGCAATCTATTAATAGGGAGATGAGGGGGGAGTGCAGAGCTTTGCGCTCCCCCCATAGCATCAGGGGAGTCAGAGGAGACTCCTGGAAGAAAAACGAGAAAAGACGAGTATTTTCCCTAGACACAAGAAAGAAGCATAAAGTTATCAGAGCAAGGTCTTACTTCACACCTGCTTTTCAGAATACTATTTTTATAAGCAGAAACGGATAGAAACAGTGGCTTTTCAAAGACGATGAATATTCTGGTGACAGAAGTCACGTGTGGCCTAGAGGTGAGTTAGAGGTAAGGTAACTCAACACGGTTTGAATCAACAAGAGATGTCTGGTACTGTGAACACGGCAGACAAAAGAGAGTCCAAATGTCTTCTCCGTAAGGCCCCTGGAAGATGATACTCGATGCCAAACGGTCATCATCACCATCATCGTCATCATCATCATTATTGCTCTTGAGCACTGAATACAAAGTCAAAAGACCGAGGTTCAAGTCTCTCCTGTACCCGGTAGCTTTGTGACTGTGGGCAATTAACAGCTTCTTCGGGTCTTGGTTTCCTTGTTTCTGAAATGGGCATGGTAAGACTTGCAGTATTTATCTCACAAGATTGTTGTGAGGATCAAATGTGAACCAATCCAATCCAACAAGCATTTATTATCATAATTACCCAATTAAGCACCTGATGTATGCAAAGACAAGGTTCCCTGTCGCCATCAAGTCCTTGAGAAATGCAAACAATTATCGATATCAATTAACATTTATTAAGTGCCTACACTATGTGCCAGGCTATAGGTGCTAGGCGCTGGGGATACAAATAGAGGCTAAAGACAGTCCCTGCCCTCCAGGAGTTTACAATCTAGTGGATCATTACCATCATCATCCATCATCTATCACTAAGCGGGCATTTTTACCTTAAGTAACACCTTCTTTGATTTCTCCTATTTGGCTGCATTACGTGGGGTGGTCAGATGGCCCGGCATGGTAGAAAGAGAACAGGACCCACTCTCTTTCAGCCTCAGTTCCCCCATTTGTAAACAGTGGACAACAACATCACCTCCCTCCAATGAAATTGTCGTTGTGAAATGTTTTGCAAACCTTAAGGAGCTGTATAAATGATAGGCATTATAATGATTATTTCTCAAGCTTCACAAATACTAATCCACGTAATCTTGAAATAACGCTCCTTTGTAATACTCCTTTTCTTGTTCTGTTTAGAGCAATGAACCTGATTATTTCCTAATACATAATGCAGAATAATTTCATCTTTCTTCTACCACACAAAGCTCTTTGAAAGAGCCCACACTGTAAAAATCAGGAAGGGCCAGTGAACAGGGAAGAAGGCCAACACTCCATTCCTTTCCACTCGTCAGTGATGCGCACATTTAGAGCCATCCCCACTCCTAACGTCCATTTGGACCTGCTGTGCCTGACCTGTGGTGGAGCCTTCCCAGTTCGTACTGGTCTGATCGACTACGGTGCGAGGCACCGTGCCTAGACCCCAACATTGTGATGCCATTTTGGTCCTCTTTGAGAACGAAGGACAACAACCAAGCAACCAACTCATCACCCCAAACCCCATCATCGCAGGGCCGTAACCCACAAAAGTGGCTCCCTTTTGTAAAGGGTGGGGGTAGAAAAAACTGGTTGGACATATTCTGGCCCAAACATGATTCTGAGGAACTACTTTCAAATCAGGGTTTAAAATATTTATGTTAAAATTAACACAGGACAAAAACACTCATTTTTCTCATCTCTGTTCTGTTCCCTTCACAAATTCCACTTCTGATTAAAGGCATGATCTCCCTTTCAAAAAGCCAACTCGCACTCATTATGTTGGATTTAAAGAAACCTATCGCCAACAAATCACTCTTCCCAAAAGAAGCATGCTTCACATCATGTGGGATCCCATGCCAAGGGCCAACCAATGAGATTCATTAAGCAGAGAGCCACAGGAAGAAACAGCAGGGTGAGCTGCTTCTGCTATAAACAAACGACTTAAAATTCATATGAAGGGGGAAAAAGTTTTGGACTAAAATGGGTCTTGAGGGTTTTATGTAAATAAGTTAAACAAATCCAGAAACTATGAAACACATACTTCCCAAAATATATGCTAAAATCTCAAGAGAATTTAAATCTGAAAGGTTCATTTAGAAACACCAAATTTTCATGTCTTCCCATTTGGAAATAATTTCATTTTATGCTCCCGTGTGAAGTTAAGAGATCCAATAAAATAGAAGGATGTAAAAATCTAGTAAGCTAATTTATGGATTGGTGGCAGCCATGGAAGGATGTAGACAGGCCTCCCAACATGGACGCTTTTACTTTGATCGTTACTACCCTTTGTATGAGCCTCCAGAGTCACATGAATCCCAATCAAACCGTTTGCAGTCTGTAAATTGGAATCACTGTACTTCACAGGTTTCCTGGTTCTGGGAGAACGGGATTCCCAGCTTTGCCCTGAAGATTCCCCATTACCCAAAGGCTCCTCCCATGAATCTATTCTACACCTTGGTTTCCCTCCTCACCCTAAAACAAATCTGATTTATTATTAATTATCAACTGCTTACAGTGGAGAAAATAAGGTAATCAATTCAATGTTATCTTTTTGTCCACATGCCAATGCCAGTATTGTTGGATAATGTCACACGTGGGCCATTTTTTAAAAGACCCAACTCTATATATTGGCAGTAAAACGAGGAAGAATAAATAGCTGAACAAACCTTGCCCCTTCCTCTATTCTGCCATCTAAATCTCCATGTCTTCTTCAAGGTCAGAGAGCCTCCCGTCACGTACGGAGCATCTGAGAGCTCTCGGGTCCACATGAGGTCTGCCATCCAGGACCCCTCTCTCGAGTCAGCTCCTCACATCCACCAAAATGCTAACCTAGGCAAGTGACTAGGCTTCAGCAGGACTGATAAAATAATGAAGAGTCCTTTAATCTACAGGAAACCATTCTAGTCAATTTATAAGAAATATTGCATCCCTTTGTACGACGTGTAATTATTTTCTATTAATCATGTGCTATAAAGCTACATTATGCGGTTATTCTGTTATCACTGGAAAGAGGCCTGCAGTCAGTTTCTGACAATGTTAGGTAATTACTAGCACAAAGCTTCTTTCTCCTCTGTGGGAACGCGATCAAGGTCCAGAGGTGTGAGGATGCTCACCGTATGAGAATAACACTCCAAAGAAACTCAATATCTGCAAAATGAATGGCTTCCAGGCAGAAAGCAATATGGTAGTAAAAGCCAAAAATAGATGAAAAATTAAGAAAAAGTGCCCAATTGTGCTGTAGAGTGAAGGCTTCCTCTCCTCCCTTCATCCCCTGGATACTCTCTTTTCAGTTTTCAGACTAGTAAATTATTTTGAACCTCTGTTTTGTTTAATGGTCAAAGCACAAGGTCCAATTAATATTTATTAAAACTGCCAAACAAAGTGACTGTGTCATTTTGAGAATGTTTATGCAAAAGAGGAAAAGCTAGTTTGGGCAAACTAAAGACTTTGGTCAAGGAGTCAGGAGATGTTTACTCATTAACTAAGCCGTCTCTGCTGGTGGCATATTATTTTACACCTAAGTGGAGCCGCATCAGCGACTCCAGGCCTTTTCAGACTGAGGACATTCCTCCTGGGTTATCGTCTACTTTCCAGAAACCATCTGCTCAAAAGTTTCCTTCTTATCCCAAGTCTCAGCATTAATAAGGCTTTGGGGGAGGAGGCCCCTACTCTTCCAGGAGTGGTTCTCACTGCTTGAAAGCAACAGGTGTGGGACAGGTTAGGAGACCAGAATGGGGTGATGAGTGAAGTCTGTTTCCCAA